GTGCATTTATTCCAACGTGTTTCTGCATTCTTGGTAAATCGTGCCACCACAGTACCCAAACAGGAAAGTCTTCCTGAAGACAAGCATCTTGTTAAAGTTTTCAGACTTGTGGCACCGTGTTGCTGTTTGGGTTCAGACTCTCTCTGTGTTATTGGCATGTGAGTTTGGTGCAGCCAGGCAGTACTGTTTGCACAGTATATTGAAACCTCTGAAACATAAAAGGTTATCTCTTAGGGTCATAGTGTGAGTGCTGCTTTGGTAGAATGGTGTTGGTTGAGTGTTTTTAGGATTTAAAAAAATATTTTTTTTAACTTCACGCTTCCCCTTTTACTTTGCTGTTCACGCGTCGGGCTTAGAAATCTTTGTTTCGAGCAAAGATGGACTTCCTCAGGAAGTAAAACACTTTTTAAAGTCACTGTGCACATGTTTATTTTAAAGATATCCTGACATGAAGCATATTAAAAGTCTGGGTGGATAAGGCTCAGGGCCCGTATTTATAAAACTTCTTAGAGTGGACTTTTAGACTTAAGTGCTGAAAATTTCTTAGATTTGCTCCTACTCTCAGACTTAAGTGTAAGTGCCAGTTATCAAAATTCTTAAATCTAAGAATCACTCTTACTCTCAAGAACAGTTCAGACTGCTCCAGGGGACTCTTAAGTGGTTAAGAGTTGACACTAGGGGTCTGAGATGGACTGAGGAGACAGAGATTACAGCTGTCCTCCTCCACACCTGAGTGTTATTCTCAGTTATAAGGTGGAAAACAGGTTTAATCAGAAATATACAAAAGAAACAAAGGTAAAAATAAATAAATAAATAAAAACTGTGCATAATGTTGGACTAAAAGGCAGAGATCTGTGTGTAGCTTTTGGATAAAATATTAAATATAATCAACTGGTGAGTGCATGCGAACCCCCCCCCCCCAAAAAAAAAAAAAAGTTTAAAAAAGAGATTACGGTGGGATTGAACGCTTTGTTTATTAGATTAACAATCACATGATACAATGATGGAGTGCGGGGGGCACCAAGCTGGCAATGTGGGAGCGGGTTGTGTGCGCATTGTTTGTGCGTGTGTCTGTGTGTAAAGCTGGTGTTGTCTGCAGACAGTGGCGAAGAGAAGGGAGCAGCTCAATATTACCTCAGGCTCTGAGACATAAAATAACTTTAAAGCTTCAGAGTTTTTGATTTCAAAAAATTGTGAGATTTTCGTCTGTTTTCATGATGCAAATGAGGACATTTTATGTAATTCTACAGACGATCAGTACAAAATGACAACATTAGTGTGTTGAAAGTGGACTTATCTTAGCATTTTCACAGTCTTATCTTGACATTTCTCCGACAATATGCTTGAACATGAAATCCGAGGCAGTGGTTGGTCCATGTCGGGGGTTTTTCTGACAACGTCATCCAGGATCAGCTTTGCGGCACAGCCAGGTGTCACAAATCAGCTCTAAGACTGACACTTAAGAATTACTCCTACACTTCACTTAAAGTAAGACTGAGATGCTTGATAACTGACTTTTACTCTCAGCTTTTATCTAAGAATTTTTTTACACTTAAGTCCAGCAGAGTAATTCTAAAAAGTTTGGTTAATTCAGGCCCAGAACAATTGTTTGTCCTTCATCAAGACTTTTCTTTTACTCTGGATCTCAGTAAACAAGATGTAAAAAAGAAATAGTTTCTCAGTGAGTTGGAGTCAAGAAGCTCAAAGAGTTTAATCGTGTTTGTTGTCCTTTGCTCACATTTAACAGTGTTCTTTGTGTCTCTGCCTGCATCTATCTGTTCAGGAGAATATTGAGCCAGAATAAAACACTTTATTTTTTCATGTGCTGCGTTTCCTGTTACTGTGAGGACTCCTCATTTGATTAAGTGTGGTTGTTTGATGAAGAAATAACTCTTTACTTTGTACCAATAAAGCATAAAACAAACATTTTGATGTCGCAGGATGATGCAAAGTCTTAGTTTATTAAGTTTTGAAACAAGTCAAGTAGCTACAGT